GGCTGAATAATTACGCACACCCCACTTTGCAGTTATTTATTTGTAAAAAATGTTTGGAATCATGTATGATTTTCAACTTGAACAACTTTCAGTTTATATTTGCTACAAATATAAAAACAAAACTACACCGACAAACATGTATCTTCTTTTAGCTTTTCTCCTGTTACTATAATGATCATGGCATATACACATATACCTCTTTATACCATCTCACCTCCTTAATGGGTGTGCCAATCATTGCCATACATACAGCATTAATTAACATCTATATGTTTTTTTTTATGGTAAATGGGCTGGTTTTTACATGCTGCTTTTCTACTTTACTTGAGCAATGAAAGCACTTTAAACAACATGTTACATTCACACAAACACAATTTTTTCCTTTGCTTAAGTGCTTTCTGTCTAGCATTCAAACACATTCACTCTCAGATGGATACATTGGAGAGCAATTTGGGGTTCGGTCTCTTGCCCTAGGATACTTTGGCATGCAGGCTGGGGCAGTCAGGGATTGAACCACCAACCTTCCAACCAGCTGTATTGTAAATGCTATTTCTTCTGATTTTCATATTCATCATCCATCTGCAAACGCAATGTTATGTCCTCAGTTTGCATTTGTTACACGTGTCACTTTAAATGTACTTTGCCAGTACATAACATAACAGTCACCAAAATTTGTATCTGCAACAGAATTTGATCCAATCACCACTAAATACGAAATGAAGAACTTGCAAAAGCATCACTGGCCTACATACACAAATAATTGTTTTAAAGACAGGTTGGGCATTATGATTCCATGACAATTATAGAAGATCTTAATACATTTAAATGCATGATAGCATGCAGTAAATAAAATGACTACATCACTGATGGGGAATTTTGTTACTGTCATAAACCAGGCAAAGACACAGTACTGTCATTTTAAGGGGCTGTATCTTTAAATGTTAGACTACATCGATAGGCATGAGGAAATGATAATATTTGAGAGGGAAAAACTGCTGTTGGTGGTATTTGAGTGAACTGTTGCCAGTCTTTGTCTTTGATTTAAGCTTTTCTCTTCCAAATAGATGTGTTTAGCATCTGAAGCTGGAAAAATGGACACAGTTGCATCTCAGCCAGAGGACAGCTCCTCCACAGACCCTCTCCAACAAACTGCTATCAAGCCAGAGGTCAAGGAGGAGAGAGCAGACACTGACCTCTCCCCTGCCTCTCCTCACAAAGCAGCGCTCTTACCTTCGCTCTACTCTCTCACGTCTACCTCCACTAATGCCATTCTCCCACAATTCAGCAGCCAAAATGCACTTGTCAAAAAAAAAGGTAGGAAAAGAGACGTGACCAAGTCAAATGATAATGATGAGAGCCGGTGTTCATCAAAGAAAGTTATAAAGAAGGCTAACCCTTCAGAAAGCCTGGACAGTGTATTCAGTACAATCGAGTCAGTGGCTAAAGGGGCCTGTTTGGACACAGAGGAAAAGTCCAAGAAGAAGGATGACAATTGTCTTAGTGGTGGGTTGCCCAAAAAGAAGAGTAAGCTGAAAATCAAGAGCTTTGTCAAAGATGAAGAGGAGATGGATGACAGCAGTGGGCAGAGTGGACAGCACAGCTCCCCTGAGGTAGAAATGAAAGAAAAGTTGTCTGATATTGGCTCCAGGACAGAAGCAGCAAACGTGGAAAGCACTGATTTCCAAGGACAGACAATAGAACCCCATAAGTCCTCTTGCAATCATTCACTTGTTAATCTTGAAGAGCATGACAAAGGAAAGGAAAGGTCAAGCGATGCAACTTGTGAGTCTAACACTGAAAATCGTGGGTCCAGGAAATCAGAGCGAACCTGTAAAGGCGCCTTATATAAAACTCTGGTCTCTGAGGGAATGCTGACTTCACTGAGAGCCAATATTGACCGAGGTATCTATTTTGATTCAAGAACGATGTGACTGATACATGTAAGGGGCAGAATTTAATTTGTGTTTTGCAAATATCTGCAGGTAAAAGAGGTATTTTCCGTACGTCTGATCATGACGCTAACTGGAGTGATGATAGCTGGACAGTTTCACAGATAGGACCTAATTGTCCCAAGAAGCTCAAGAAGTCCAAGTCCAAAGACGAGTCTTCTCAGGGGTGAGTTGGCTTTTCTTACAGTCATTCTGAGGAATAGGAGCAAGTAACTAATCCTTCATTTTTAACCCAAGTATTATTCTCACTCTTGTGGCCCGTAGTAACTTGAAAATATAATAATAATATATATATATTTGTGATATTGGTCACAGATAAAAAGAGAGGTCAATTGAGTCAAAGTTTGAAATAAACTTTTGGGCGGGGGGTGTAATAATTTTGCCTGTATTTATACATCATATTAGCACTATTCCACTTTTGTGTGTATGTGTTTAGATTTCCTTTGGTGAATAATTAAAAGGTTTTATAATATATATGTAATACTGACGCACCTGTAATAGAATTCCTGTCAGGAATGCTTTTAGGACAGCGGTCCCCAACCTTTTTTGCGCCACGGACCGGTTTATG